CGGCGGTGTTATTACCGGCGCAATCTGTGAGACTGGTGAATCATGGTCGATCAGAGCAATCAAGTAAGTTGTTTGTATCGGGAGCAGCATTTTAATATATTTCTTTCCTATAGGGCTATAAAATGCCAAGGCCCAAAAAGCCTATCATGAATCGCGTAAGGGTCGGCTAACAACAGAGCGATAAACCGGAAATCAGCACAATATTAAGTAATCTCGTGATTGATTGAAGATGATTCCATTTACGATGAAATTAGGATAAAGGTACTATGCCTACCAACGGAACGACTGTGAATTTTTGCCTCTATTCATCCCCAAAGACAGGACGACGGAAGAACCATGCCGTCTACAACAGAGATAGAGGTTAGCAGAGTCGGGATTGAACTGTAGCAGAGAGTTCGAAAATGCTGAAACACTCAATCTGGACCCCTGTCCGAATGATAGTCGCTAAAGAGGAGCCTTGAATGTGGCTGATTCGACAGATTACCAGCCCAGAGCGCCACCAATGTTCACGTTATCGTCCGGAGTGGTAATCCGTACCGGTATGGACTGAAACTGATACAAGCAGTTTATACGGCAGTCTTAGTGAATTATATTTTAGCCTATTCTCACAGCTAAAATGAATGTTTAAATTTATACTGTGACCTTGATATAGGCTAATGCTTAGGCAGCAATGCGGTAAAGACTACACTTTACTGGTCTGGACTGTAAAAAACGAATTTGTTTCAGACCATACCGGTATGCACAGAATTGCGCATTAATTTTATTCTAGATCAGTATGGCCTAGCCCATACTCAAACAATCATGTGATTCACGGAGAGCCTGTATGGTCACTGCCAAAGATATAGTATGGATACAGTCCAGTATGGATACCGTCCAGAGTGGTATGGATAGAAGTATCGACGGATTACGACTCTGGATGGCAACATCCACATCAACGGTAATGGCCACACTAACTCTCCTAGGATTACACGGCTGTTCCACTAGCTATGGCCACCACACTACCGTCGAGAGTGAAATGAGGAAAGAAAATGAAATGCTCGTAGCCGTTGGTATGTCTGTCGCCGTTGCACTTCTACGAAGGGCGCCAATTTGCGGAACCCTCCGTTTCGTAGCACTTATGGAGCGGCGCTGATCACTGTTTCTATGTCATCTGTCCAGAGCTGCTCCTTTTAAGGGCTATGCCTTTAGCGACTTGACAAGTACAGCATGCAACTTCCTGTTCCCTTTCCCGC